ATTCAGTAGGTAATTCACTTTGTACACATCAAAATGGCGTCAACAACGAGAACTATTTTGTTTGTGAAAATTATTGCGTTTTGTGTGTGGTCTACATTAGCTGCTACCAATGAAGATGTCGGACTTAACGTTGTAAGTATTTAATAAAAAATAAAAATAATAAAACTATGTATATTTATTGATTTATTTATTTAAAGTATGAAATTATCAATAAATATGGCTACGATTACGAATTGCATCCGGTAACTACTGACGACGGATACATTTTGGAACTTCAACGTATTATTCCTCGTGGTGAAACAGGAACCAATCGTCCTCCTGTACTTTTAATGCATGGTCTTCTGTCATCTTCTGCTGACTGGGTTAATACTGGTACTCATAGTTTAGCCTTCAAACTGGTTGATCTTGGATTTGATGTTTTTCTTGGCAACGCACGTGGTACGACATCTAGCCGTAAACATGTCACTCTTGATCCTGATCAAGACGCAGTTGAATTCTTTAATTTTACATGGCATGAAATTGGTTACTATGACTTACCTGCAATGATTGATTACATTTTGGAGATAACTGGGGCTGAACAAACTCAATATGTGGGTTTTTCACAGGGAACTACTGTTTTCTTTGCTATGGCTTCCTCTCGGCCGGAGTATAATGCTAAGATTAAACTGATGACTGCTTTGGCTCCAGTTGCAGAAATGCATAATTTTAAAAACCCTATTATTAAACTTGCTGCCAAGTTTGAAGGTGTTATTGAATTTGCTCTTAAAGCATGGAAGATGCATGAACTTTTGAGGTATGGGAAGATTTTTGAGGTTTTAGGTGAAGAACTTTGTGATGATGGTAAACCCACTCAAGAGCTTTGTAAAATTTTGTTGTTTGCTATTGCTGGGTATGATAGGGAACAACTAGATGGTGTAAGTTTATATTAAAACGTAATTTTTGTTGTTTTTTTGTTTTAAATATACTTTTTAACAGGCATTTATTCCGGTAATTACTTCTAATGCTCCTGGAGGTGTGTCTGTTGGTCAATTGACCCACTATCTGCAAATTATAAATGGGGATGGAGTTATGCGTCGATACAACGATGGAAAATCAGCAGATTTACCGGAAGCATATGATCTTTCTTTGATTTCAGCACCAGTTGCACTTTACTATGGTGAAAACGATTGGCTTTCTTCTGAGAAGGTAAATTGCAATAAATTTAATCATATTTTTACTAATGTTGAGTTTTTTTTCAATTTATATAAGGATGTGGAACATCTTGCGGACACTATGCAGAACTGCGTCCGTAGACGTCTGAATTCTTTAAAGGCCATGAACCATATTGATTTTCAGTGGGCCATTGATGTTGTTGAATTGGTTTTCAATGACGCTATTGAACTTATTGTTGAATATAAATAAAAGTCAATAATTAATTAAACA